GGATTGGCAGGAATCCTTTGGGTCTTGTTGTCCGGCCACCCTTCCAGGCCTTAAACCTCGGTTATAAAACAGCCTAGAATCTGAAAAGATAAACACAGTCTCCTGGGGATGTTTAGGACTCTGTTTATACATTGTTTGATTCTTTCATTTTACTCAGCACTTTTGGTGATTCAAATATCATCTGTGTAATTCTCTTAACTCAGAATTTTAATTTAAAACATCTTCTGACTATAAATGAACTTGGAGGTCATTGGAAGTATGTATAAATACTCCTAAACATAAGCTTTTATTACACTATAAGCCCCTATCACATAGGCTGTTGAGAAACGGGTGATCTGGATTACATAATAGGTGTGTTTTATATATATTTTTATATATATATATATAAAATTAGGTGTGTTAATCTAAGTAACTGAAGGTTATTGAAACTTTTCTTGAGGAGTTCTTTGTGAAGTATATTCTCTTACTTTTACTTTTTGACTTAGTAAGTACAGTGTAAGAACATAATTGAATCTTCCTATTATAAGTGAACTCCTGCAGGGTCTCAGGGCTATCACTCAGAAATCAATTCTCATTGTGTGGCCTAAATGCCCAGAAAATAGAAGAGATGGCACTGATTTCATACTGTCCAAGTAAATAACCCCAAAGTTATTTTTTGGAATAAACCCACAATAATACCTGTTATAATTTATCTCTTTCTAAAAACTTAATGCAGCAAAAAAAAAAAAATCCAGATAATTGATGGTTCCACTTAGTACAGTCAGTTGATGTTTAAAATACTATCTATTGCTTTACAAAGTAAAATAAATGTTTTTTTCTGTGAAAAAAATAGAGTACCTGCATAAATATCATTATGTAACATATATAATAATTAAACCATGTAAAGTAAGTATATTTGCTTGCTACATAGGGATCCCTTTCTTTAAATGTGTACCTGGTATTACTTTTAAAATGTAATTGAGACTTATTAAGACAGTTAAATCATCACTTGAGTTTTTAATTGCAATTGAGGAGAGATGCAGAATTTTTAAAGCTGTACCCTTAGGTTAAATAGCTAATTTTTCCACTGTTCTTTTATTTGCTTTACAGTAATACAATAAATTGTTCCAGAACAGTCATAAATGAATAACATGTATTTCTTCAGAGAGTTAATTATTTAATAGACACATTAAAAAGTGCTATAATGAACTATGGTACATTGGTATGCTATGGAGCTGTTAAAGAACATGTGAACCATCTTTAAGATATCTTATGTGTTAAAAGCAAAGAATTTTCCACTAGGATGGTAGACTGAGTTACAACAAGAAACTTTACCTCCTACTTCAATCTCAATTGAAACACTGGATAAAATATTTTTTTAAAAATGTTTCCAAAGCTGGGTTATGGATAGGGGCTTATTTATTGCATATATGTTTAAAGAATTTTCCATAATAAAAAGTCTGTATTTACAAA